GGAAGCCCGTATTCCCATACAGATCACGCCGATCTTAATAGCAGAGCAAGAGGGGCGTCTGCCAGAACAATCTTGATCTCGTGTTGGTTGGTGGCTTACACTGCAAAGTTATTGTGACATATCCATCCATGATGTATAAATTTGCCGATTCCGTCGCGAACAACCCAATGATGGAGATTTTCCGACAGCTTGCGCTGCATGACAATCTTTCATTTCATGCGATGCTTGCTATTGCCTCAAAGCACCGAGCTGGAGTGGAAGGCAAGGCGGACTCTGTTCAAAGCCTCACTCATAAGATGCGGGCACTTCGATTAATAAACGAGCGAATACACACCGACTCCCAAGGTCTGCAAGATGGTACAATATATGCTGTAGCCACAATGGCAGTTATTGAGGTAATTAAACTTTCCCTATGCTTTGAACTTTGCAGGTTGCTCATACAGTCAAGAAATGGTCAAGGGATGCTTCCATTGAAAGGATGCACTGCATGGGACTAGCATCCATGGTCCGGAATCGCGGCGGGATGCGAGGCATGCGGGCTTCCAGTCCCTTTTTGGAGAAGGTTCTGTACTGGTAATGCTTTGACAGAATCCTACAGCAACTATATGGTCTGGCTAACTTCGCATAGGGTGGATATAAGCTGCGCACCCAAAGCGATTTACACCTCATGTCTTCCATGGACTGGTGCCGTACCCGACACTTCTCCAGAGAGTCTTGACTTTCTTGCTCCTGATGTGCACCTCGCTATTCCCCACATACAGACAGCGGTGGAATCATTCGAGAGCCCATGCGATCAATATCGTGCTTGTGAGGATTTTCTGCGATTTTTCCGCTGTCTACATGAGCTGGAGAAGGCTGCGTTAGGCTTTCCCGCTACTGTCTCCGGAAGCAGTCCAACTCCTCGCGTCAGACGCTTCACCCCGGGAACACCGCTCTATTCCATTCTGACTATGCTTCCCGATTACGACCACGGGATCCGGGATATCCGATTCATCGATGAATACACCTGCATGTCCTGTCTGTTCTTCCTGGCCGTCGCACTCTACGATTCCTATCGCAACTCTACCAATTTTGACCGCTACCTCGACTGGCTGGACATGGAAGTCCAAGGGCTCAGCACCTTCACTAACCCGAGCATTACATCTGTCCTCTGGATCTTTCTCAACAACGGCGGCTACCCGCAAAGGGAAGCAGGCGACGCCGGCGAAAGATGCTGGGTCGTGTCCCGCATGGTACGCATTGCCAAACGCCTCGAGTGGAAACGTCAGGGCACCATCTGGGACCGTCTCCGACAGGTCCTCATCAACTTTATCCTCGCCCAGCAGGAATGCGCCCTGGGGTCGGATAGCGTTGACGAAGAGGCGTTGATCGCGAGGCAACAGAGACGCCTCCAATCAAGCGAGGATTTCTGGGACGAGGACGAGATGCGCGAGGAAATTCTGGGATCACAACCGTCGTCGGTCCTGACGCCGTGACCTCAGCTGCAGACAACTATTGTGGTATAATCACATGCCTTGGTTCCTTGATGGATACCAGAATGGCATGGAAAAGTCGATGAATTGTATGATGCCTCGGAAATAACAACTCCATATACCCAGAACATATTATGACGTGATGATTGATGACATGTATTTCTGTACTGACAATCTGTTTCACTGTACAGAGTTGTACTACTGTAATTAGGAAGCAATACTCCTTCGAACAAAGAAATGATCCAAGCTCATTGCCATCTCATTACTAGGTCTATCGTATATGCACATCAATCAGGTGGGTATTGGACGGTCTCTCTAGAACATGAAACACAGCAGCAACGGCCATCCATCCATCCATCCGGCACATCATCGAGGAAAATGACAAGATCACCTTCCAGGGCAGACAATCATCCATAAACGAGGAGGAAAGGTATAATAAACAATTAATCCTGCAGGACCTCCCCGTCAACAGTGGCATATCATAAGGAAAAAAAAAAAAAAAAACCAATCGATCGATTCCCATGTATCGAACACATCGAAGGTCTAACGAGAATGTAGAAAAGAATACTGCTGGGTATTGAGGGCTGCCTCCGCACTTCTCCCACTTATTTGCTTTTTGGTAAATGCGTTCGAGGTAGTTCATTTTGATGTTGGAACATCGGCACAAATCATAATAACATAAAAAAAAGCACGAGCGCTGTGCGGATCCATGGTATGACATTAGAAAGATTCTACGTCGGCTTGTCGCATCCGATTCTGCCAAGGAGGGCCTTGCGATCGCTCTGGTCACCGAGTGGGATTCGTCCCCGCGCGCGAGGTCGCACGCTGGCTGAGCCGTTCGAGGCTCGACGCCAGTCGGCATTCGCCCCGTCCACACCGGCTGTGTTGCTGGTGGGCGCGTCCTTGCCCGCAGGTCGGACTTCCGCTTCTTCTTCGTCGTCGCTTCGAGTGTCTTCGGCATTTCCGGTCCGGAGCACGTTTACGGCCACGCGGACAACCATCACAAACCATATGAGAGAGAGCAATTGTAACGCCAGAAGAAAACCAAGAAAAATCCACTTGACGGTGCGATTCATGCAGATGGGGCTATTGATGTCCAGGAAGGGGTTAAAAAGGTAGCGGAATCGGTTCGGGTACCCATCGGTTGAAATCATCTCCGCGTTGGTACCGGAGTAGCAGCCGTAGGCCATCGCATCAGGGACATCCTTGTAGATAGACCAGCAGAGTAGCGGGTAGAAAATGTGACGCGTAATCAACCAGGTCACCATGAACAGACCGAAGGTGATGTTGCAGCAAAGCTCGAACTTGAAGTACTTGAGAATCTTGGCAGTCTGTCGCGCAAATGTCAGCTCGGCCAGTTTTTGATGGAGGGCAGATGGATCTCATGGCATACAGGCAGCAACAGGTCGACAATGTCCATCAGACACAGTACCACGTTTGAAACGTTATAAAAACTGTAGATATAGGCAGAGGTCAAGAGAGTGCTAGTGAGGATGTGGTGAGTCAACATCTGGTAGTGATCCTTTCGCCTTTCTTCCATGTTGATAACCAGGATCTGCTGGAACCAGAATGACAGCTGCGCCAGTAGATACCACTTCAGGTTTGCAGAGACACCCCGCGCGGGCCATTGAGCCCAAATGGCCTTGAAATCCATCCAGTAATAGGAGTTTGTCCAGATATACTACATCCAACATGTCAGTTTCACCGTCCAGAGAGGCAATGGATGCAGCGAGACAAACCATTCCAAACGTCCAGAAGAACGCATAGTACATCCACATCCACGCCTGCTCGGCAAAACGATTCGAAGCCTTCCGCTTCAATCCCGCATATCTGGCAGCTGGTCGGAAGATCCATTCAATGGCAATCGCTCGGACGGCGGTGAAGGTGATGGCAGAGCTGATAACAAAGTACACATCGTCAAATCCTTGGACATAGACCCCTTCGGAAGGTTGGTAGTACGACAATTGGAAGAACGGCGCCGTGTATGGTCGGAGGGTGGGGTAGAGGTTATGAGCAGCCAAAAGCGTGCCAAGGATAGTCAATGAGACTCCTGAAAACGCATACAGAGCAACAGTCAGCCATCGAGTCCAATTCTATCACAATGACGATCGAGCGCATGCGCTGGGTTCCTCCGGCGCAGAAACAAGTTAAGCGATGGATTGGAGCAGTGTAGGCACATCAATGGACTCCGACCCAAGGCAAGTTGGAGAATAGACGCATACCAATTTGATTCGCATCCATCCATTCTCGAAAGGTCGCGTCTTTGGCAGCAGTTCGGTGACCGGTGGACACACAAGTATTAAGCTCCGAAACGGATTGCGATTGCGTGGATTCGTCTTTTGCCATGACGGCGGTTTTGTGATCCCGAAGATCTAGGGATCACTGATGCCGGAAGGAGCAGCAACAGTAACCGTGTCTGCGAAGAAGATTCCAAAAAGTCAATCGCTGCCACCAAGAGAATTAGTAGGATTGACGAAGGTTTCGCAGGTAGGTTGGTCGGATAAGAAGAGAGTACCCAGAACTGCTCCGGATGTACCTTGGAATAGCTACTTGACAACAACCAGACTTCTGTGACTTTCTGCCACTGGGACCCGCTGTTCCGCAGCGGGTACCTGTTGGGGGGTGAGAGAAACGGCTGATGAGGGACGGTGTCCTTTCTTAGTGTCAATAGCAGACACACAGAAAAGAGTCAACAAAATAGTTGCGTTCGTAGAGATAGTGTCAATGACAGTGAAAGACAGAGATTGGAAAACAACCTAAGGAAAAGTCGATCCCGTCTCTTGAAACCCTAGAGGTAGACCTAGCCTTTCGTAGCTATCCCAATGTCCTTGGATAAAAGTGGTAAAGGTATCCGTAGTACGCATGTTGGTGGGCACATGGAAACAGTGGAACGTAATTTATTACGCCAATGAAACACAGGATAATGAGGGGATTGTTTCGAATTATCTAGACAATCCACAGGGGCACCCCACAATATGACTTTTTCGACTCTTATAGACGCGTACTTGGATCTTGCTATTTGCACTACGTTTCCACTGTGCATCATGTACCCTACACGTCCCACCCACGTAAGGTAGGTAGGTACGATAGGCACTTTCATGTTCATCATACACAGCTCAGGTTGTATACTCCGAAATACATCAACAATCATGCTCACCGCCCATCAACAAATAGCCCTGGACCCTTTCCCTTACAGGTACCTTACCTGCCTTGGTCTGAATAAAGTTCTCGGCCTCCGCATTGTTGTCCCGCATCTCTCGCTTTCTCCCCAATCGCAGCAGCCGAATACTTCACACCCTCTATCCAGAGGCTGTCCCGCATCGACTACTTTTGCAGCTAATGTATGCTTCCTGGTCGTCTGATCATTGGGTTCTTTATGCGACCAGATCGTCCCAGACATACTAAACGAATTGAACGGATCCGAGTAACGAATAATTTCGATGAAGTATGTAGTCGATGTGATATATGGTACACCAACGATGAGCATAGATTTAACCTTGGCGCACCGACTACTCGGGTGCAGGTTGATTACCTCTCCGGGGGATCAACCTCATCTAAGCCTGCCGTGACGCCATTGACATATTCAGCCGCACTGACACCCAGCTTGGCTAAATCTACTCCTCCTTGTCCCGCCATCGCCCGGGACATGGCTCGCACCACTTCCTCTTCCTCCCAGATACTGCTCGGAGCCATTGAAGCATCGCCATCCGTGTTACCAGCGCCCATCGCGACAACAGTCCGCCAATACGCATCATCCCGGTCCTTCAAGACCTTATCTCTAACCACGGCATTCCGCGTCACGCTCACAGCATGCAATTTCGAGCTAGCTCCAGCCAATGACGTTAGCGAAGTCGAGACCAGCTGGTCGACTTGATCGGCCTGCGAGGGAGGCGCGAAGAAGAATCGGTTTGTGGCGGTTACATAGATTAGCAGGGCGCAGATCCCGTCAAAGATCGCAAAGACCAGCGGACGGAGCAGGGTGGTTTGATGATACAAGCTCGATGGCGGCACCATGCCCGCTCGTACAGCAGCCGAGGCAGACAGAACGGGGTCGTATGTCGAGACAATGTAGATGTCGATGACAGCCAAAGCCAACCCGGCGACGGTGAATTTGTTGCGCCAGCCGGCGGCTTCTCGGCCAGCAAAGGGTGCCGAGGTCACCAAGCCCACGAGGACCATATGCAAGATATGAGGGACTAATGTGTTGAAGGGGAGATAGTAGAGAAGATATGTTTTCAGGTTGTCGAGCGAGCAATACTCGCAGGATGTCAATGCATCAGGGCCGTAGCGCAGGTACACCCGCCGCGCCACCACCGAGGTAAACTTGGATCGCAGCAAACGATCTGTTTCGCTCAAGGTATTGTCCGGCCGGAACCGTGCCAGCCTGCTAAAAATGACATCGGTCGGGGTGTTGATGCGCGATCGCGTCAGGGTAAATATACTTGGAGAAGGAGCATGAGGGTTGAACGGGAGGCTGAGAAGGAAGCACAGCAGGATGGCGAAGAAGAGGACATTGAGGACGCGGCGGGTAGCCTGAGGGAGGGGACGAGGTGTGGGACGTGATGCTATAGCGACTCGGAGACTGCGGTAGAAGTTGATGGCCCGAGGAATGATGACGGGGGCGAAGAAGATCAATAAAGACTTGATGCTGTGAAGTGGTCAGACCGTGAGAAAAAAAAATTCAGACACTTACGTCGCGAACGATATCCCGAGTTCAACCATCTTGCCCGTCAATTTATTTCGACCACCTGGCTGCCACATGTCCTTGAGATGGATGATGACAGCTAAGTGGATGAGGCTGATGGCCATATTGCTGATCTTATCGCCGATGCCAAGAGGCGCCTAACGTTGACCAATCAGAGGTCCTTTCTATAGTTCTTTTGATTGACACAGCAAGAATCGTTTTGGCCAGTTGAATTTGAAAATTAAAATGCTACAGAAATACAACATAGGACAATGTCTGAATAAAATCATAGGAGTGCAGCCAGTAATGCCAAGCTCTGTAATGAAAGTATTTTTCCAGTGAACGCCCTCGCTAATATACCCTTGGGACAACAATCCGTTCCAACGCCCCTCTCACCGCAAAGATGGTAAGGCTTAGACCTGCGAAGAATACATTGCCGGATGATGAGATAGGTCTGGAATGGTCACACCCGCCGAGTCTCGCGAGTATTTGGATGATGCGGCATCGTTCAAGTTCATTGGCGGGGATATCTTCAGTGGAAAGCGAGTCATGCTCCGCATGGAGGCCTGCCTCCTCACAGGTGAATGCGAAGGAGTATATGTTGGAAGTGAGTCCTCTCGCTTTATACCGAGTTTGAATGATCGCTGGGAACTTGCTCGTGTGACGACTTTCTGAGGCGCTACCGCCCCGTAGACTCGTACATGACGTGCAGTGACCCCAGCGGCGCGGTCTGAGAAAATGAAGCTCTAAAGTAATCAACAAAAGTCAGCGTTCGCTTCCTAGGCCTTGAAAAGATAAGGTCGACTTACCGACACCAAATTGACGACACTCATGACCATAGCCAGAATACCTGCGGATACCACAATCCTCCAGAATGCAAGGCCAAGTGATTCCTGACTCGTGGCAGGCGTATTCAGATCGCCCAAGACCCCCATTCCAAGTATAAGCATTGCCACAGCCAGTGTGACGAAGCCGGAATCTTGGCCTAGCAAAGGCCAATTGCGGTCGAAGTACCCGCGAAAGAAGGGTAATTCTGAGAGTATAAGAAAGACTGTCGTGCGTCAGTATTCTTGTCATGTCCATGCTTCACCATAGCCGGGGGACCACTTACTGCTGATTCCTGCAGCCATGACATGGGAAACGGCTTGGAAGAAGAAAAAGCTGCTCAAAAGAGAGATCTTCACTATCATCACAATGCTGGCAGCGATGATGTCTAGGAAGACGATGATATTGAGTACCCGTATGGCGTTCAAGACCACAAATCCTGGACCAGCCAAGGACTCTTTCAATGAAGCCATCATAATCAAAGTATGTGTATCGCAAGCGAAAGCACAGTTCTGCACGACAAGACGCCACTACCAAAAGATCATGCAAGAATATTGAGGACTCGGATCGAGATAAGATGCGTTTTCAAATGATACTACGAGAGACAGTAGAAGAAAATGGAGAAATGAAAGTAGAGGCACAAGGACTGACCAGCAGGACCGCGTTGGCTCACAGGCTGAAGGAAAGAAAAGGAGAGAAAGAGCAGACTGGCGAGGTCTACTCGAGGGTTAAAGAAAGAGCAAAAGAGTGAACAATGAGGCGACAAAAGATAAGAGCCCTATTGAACCAGCATTATTCAGGTTCTTTCCTTTGGGCTCTAGCGCCAGACAATACCGGTTCTTTCAGATTAGGTAGCGAGGCCCGAGTGAATGTAGAAAGACAAAGGCTGCTGACAATGGGCATGTAGTCTGAATCTGAAACACAAGCTTGATGGACATTGAGAATCAAGCCATCTATTCATGCCATAAACAATGGTGATGTCTTCAGAAATGGCATAGACAGTTGAACACTGATCCAAAAATAATTCTGCTCCTCGAGGTGCGGTTTATCCCTTACAACCGCTCTGCAGAGCGCCGTCTGGGTAGTACACCCCGTCACAGTGTTCCCTGCTCAAACTGAAATTAGCCTTGGTTTGTATGCTACTGTTCCCAAGCCTGTATTTTCTCAGGCGTCAAGCTCGGTCACAAGTCCTCATTGCAAAAACAAAGCGAGTAGCTATCACTGCGAGATTGTCAACCAGCCTGAAACAACCGTCTCATTCGCTTGCCTTGCTACATCTGACGATTGGCCGTCGTTCAACTATTTTTGCTTCAAGCGATGTTTGAATAAACCTCACTGGGCTCCAATGATCCTCTCCCGATCCTCGGATGCCAAACGAGATAATTAGTCTCAAATCGGGCGCTTACTCTTGTAAGGACCCGCAGGAACTTGGTGTTTGTTAAGAATCAGTGCCCTATGGGGCCCGCGACTTGACAAGATTAGGCGCCTGCGAAGGCTATATCGTTTCGTGACGCCAATTTCTCCATTGAGATTTCGGGAAGATACTATCTTGCGACGCTGAGAGCAGAGCTCAGCAGCGGACTTAGGACTTACTTCCCTGCGCAATTGATGACATCGGCCTCAGTAGAGTGGACGCAGGATACATCTACGACACTAAGTACCACACTGCACCCTGGTCATTTGCATCTGCCGTCCTTCGACCAATTAGCCAACTAGTCCAGCCGCCGAGCTCCTAGAGCTTCTATAGCATTCAAAACGCGAGCGCGATAAGTGCGACTGTCACGGTAACCCAAGATCATTTCCCGAGCATGACTCTTTCCTTGAGGTTCAAGCTTCTGCACAGGATGCGGAAGCAAGTGGACGTCTCTTGGCCGGCAGAGTTGGCATAGGAGTACTCGGTATTGAATGAAGCAATGAGTGATGCATGGCATGGTCCATCATAGAAGGACCCGATTTCAATATTAGCTTGAAATATCAACCACCTCTCTCCTTTGTTCTGGAAATGTTGCTTCGAATCTGTGGTATTGGCATTTCGTCGTTGATGTGTTGATACTGCATTGGTCAAAATGCTTATCTCGTCACCTTGCGATAGTTCACAGAAGAGAATCGCTCTAATTGCTTGTTACTAACTCATGCCCAAGGCAATATATGCAAAATGTGTCATATTATTATGAGTTGGATCAATCTGATTCCCCTGATGTCGTGGTATGGGCTAAATTATGGAAAAGCTGGGATTCGGGGTCTCGGCGGACTATAAAAGGAAAGCCATGGATACAGACAGAAACTTTACTTAACGGCCTAGAACTTTGCTCTTCTCTTACCTTGATTCCTTGCCAAGTTTGAAGCTCGATATACAAAATATTGCTCCTCTCCATTTCTGATTGCAAGGACAACTCAGAACACCTCAGTAGCCAAAATGACCCGCGGAAACCAGAGAGACAGAGACCGTGAGAAGGCTCTCAAGGCAAAGGCCAAGCAGGTCAGTTTTCGTCCCCGCAACCGTCCAACAGGTCTCAAAGCAAGATGTCAATATACAATTTCTCCTTGGATGTAGAACATAGTTGCTAATCTACCTCTCATGTCTATAGAAGGCCGCAAATAACTTGAGTGGCACCGAGTTCCAGCGCGCAAAGGAAAACAACGCTGCAATTATGCGCGCAAAACAGGCAGCGGGTAAGCGCGCCCAGGAGTTTTTTTTTTTTACGCCTGTTGCAATAGAGCTTGAATGTGCTAACGCATTTCGCCTTTCTCTACAGCTGACGCGAAAAAGGCAGCCGAAGCAGCAGCAGCAGGGAAAAAGAAGTAACGACCCATTACGGGAGTCGTCAGCAGCTTTTTCACCCGCAATTCCGATCTCAGCCGCGCTGCTTTCCCATCATTATTATCAACCCTTCGGCCGTTATGCTCCGGTTCGGTGCATAATATCACTTCCGCAACCTCATAGGACCCTCAGACCTTGGCTACTTGGCCAAGTTTGTTGCAAGGATTGCTACCCTGGATGAACGAGGTGGCTATATCATATTCTGTCAGAGGAACGGAGGTTGGCTATAAGCCCCTCGGTTTGCCGTTCCGTGGGTTGATGGGGTATTTTGGAGTCGTTGGCGCGTTTTACTCGTTTACTAGAGCATTTTTACAATTAGCGAGGCGTTTCTTTCAGAATATGGCGTTCAGTCTACGTTGTAAATTCAACCGATACTGGATCATTCTACTAGGAGGACATGAGGTCTATGACAACAGGGGACCAAACTAATTACGCGTTTGCTACCAGACATGACCAGGCTCCTCGATCGACCGTTACAGTTCTGCTGTTATGCTGCCAGTTCGCCGCTCGACCAACATGCCTTTGCCCTGGCCATCCATGTCTTCCACGATTCTTTCGACTCGCTTTTGGCAATGTGAGCCAGCGTATCCATTGCGACGAGACGAGTCTGCGTTGCCTCCTCCCGTCCACATAGCTGACACCAAACAGTTTCCACCACATCAAATCTCGTAGTAGCCAAGTGTACAAACGTCCAAAGACTCTCGCCTTCCCAGCGGACGTGCACTCCAAACTTGACAGCTTTGTTGATGATAGCCAGAAGAGTTTCTCTGTACGAAATAGTTTCCAGCAAATAGAGCAGAAACATCCAGCCAGATATATCCGCTGGATGAGCGAGACACCAATCCAAAGCCTTTTCGGTGATGAGCAAAGCCAATCGGGCGGAGCTCTCCGCCCTGTGCTCGCTTTCGTTCAGTGTGTCAGTCAAGGCCACATGAAGCCGGCGCATATAGCTGAAAGCATAGTAATTCTTGGGATGGAGCTCCCCTGCGCGAAGTACAACGGCAAACTCGGCCTGGAACATTTCCCGAAACTTTGCCGTCGTATCAAGCATACTTTGATTGGGCTCTTGTCGCTGTGGAACGGCAGTTCGCGATAGTTGAACTGTTGGGCCTGGCCTCTGGAATTTATCCATCTGGTTCAAGATCCATAAACGGTGTTGCCATAGTGTTGGAGACTTGGTGTGCCGATGTAGAGGAGAACATAGATAGGTCGTCATAAGAGAGCGTTCTGTTTCCAGGGCGTGGGCCAGGCTCTCGCGACCAACGTCCGTACTGTGAAGATCCGGGCCCTTGATCAAGGCATCAAGTCGCCTTTTCCGCCAGTTGCATGCGGTGGTATGTTCACAGTCGAAAAGCAGGATGATCTGAGACGCAATCGAAGCTTCGTCTTCTGTAATAGCATCTGGGCACTTCATTCCCGGAGCATTAAGGTCGGGCATAGAGCCCAAATGCTTGAAGAAGATACATCTGGCGGTCACAAAGGCCTGTACCAAATATTTCTTGGTGATGCCTATCGAACACCCATCTTGAAAGAGTGGGCCAACCTGCGGCGGCAGAATCTCAATTTCAAGAATGCGACTGTCTCTGCTTCTGAAAATCCGAGCAAGTTCCTGGTACGCATTTTCTGTAGTAGACATTTGGATGTCCCTGTTATCTGGACCACATTGGCAGTGCAAATTTCAAAAGTTCCGTCTATCCATCGTGTTGTATGGCATGGCAATAGTGTCAGGCTATTGATTGTTATCGTTTTAGTGGTACCGCCAACAGGCGGAACGCACAGATCGAGGCCACCTTGACAACGTCATTTCGATCACAAACCCTCCTCCATCGGCCTTACAAATGCGGTTCTAAAATCTCCTACGGGTCCTAATTTTGTGGCACATTCTTAAGAAACTTGCACCGCATAGTTTCTGCAAGTTGGATCGTGGCTCTTTAACTCCGGCCTCGATACCTCATTGCGAACCTCACGATAATTCTTACCTCCGACGGCCATATTCCAAACGCAACAAGATGCTATCGCTCATTCTGACGATATTCTTTGTCCACGTCGCCATTTATTTGGTGAATACTGTCGGCGCAACAACCATTGATACTCTGGTATGTTCCTGCTTAGTCCACCACCGGCATGGCAACGCTGCCAGTTTGCCACGGCCCCAGACCAAGCGATCAACCATTCTAATTGACATGTTCTGCAGCTATGGATCCTCTACCTCAAGCTCCCTACATCGACATCGAAGAATGCACGCGAGCAGAGCCGACTGAAGCGCGAAGTCGTCCAGCTCAAGCGAGAGATGAACAACACCAGCTCGCAAGATGAGTTTGCCAAGTGGGCTAAGTTGAGGAGGAAGCATGACAAAGCTATGGATGAATATGAGGCAATGAGTGCGTATCCTGCTCTATACGTTGAAATACTATGCTTCTTACTTCACATTGTCGAGGTTCAAGTCCAGCTGATTGATGGGCTTTTATTTACAGACAAGAAACTCACGGCCCAGAAAACCTCGTTCGACTGGAGTGTCAAGATCGCCCGGTGGCTCAGCACCAACGGTCTCAAGATCTTTTTGCAGTTTTACTACTCCAAGACTCCTGTCTTTGCGCTTCCAGCAGGCTGGTTTCCCTCCTACGTTGAATGGGTACTGTCATTCCCCCGAGCGCCTCGCGGATCGGTGAGTGTCCAAGTTTGGAATAGTGTCTGCGCGACAGCGATTGCCGTCATGGCAGAGATTGTTACCTCTATGTTGCTGCAGTTGAGAAGTCGGAGCGCAAGCCCTGCTTCGACAGCAAAGGCCCAAAAGGCGCAATGAATAGAATGAATGTTTGCCATGTTATATATATTACGCATTACGGAAAAAGTAGACTAAAGACGACAATGAGTAACTCGATTGTTTCGTTCTATGAAAAGCACATAAGAGGGAACATGTTCGTCAGATATGAAAACAATCGTTTATCGTCACAACCCCATGCCGTAGCAGGAGTATCAGGGCTTGACTCTATGATTGGTATATCATCATACGAACGCAATGTGCATGTCGACGAAAAGACAAACATAAAAAGAAAGGAAAAAACGAGTCCGGCCCCTTCGACAGGGCTTCTGTGACCATAGATCCAGCCACCGCTTTGCAATAAGCTACAGACTCAAAAGTAAAGAGCGATGAACTCCTCGCCTCAAGAATGAGCCCCATTGAGTTACCCAAAACCCCCAAAAGGAGGATCAGGGCAATCGCATGACTATCCAAACACGACGAAAGGCAACCCAATGAAACAACCCCTCTCCGGCACCCCGCTATACCACCATTGTTTCCACCGCGAAGGGCGTCAGATATAGGCACGGGCGCCGGGAGGGAGTAGGGCAGTCAGCCGCTATCAAATTGCTTCTATGGCGGCGCGTTTCCGCATTGCCTGCCACGGATCTAGAGGATCGAGCAGGGTGTCCGGGGACTTTCTCCCAAAGCTAGGTTCCTCTTGGTAGAGGAATGAGAATACCGGGCAGATATTCTGTGTGTGAGCTTTGAATGCGATTCTTTGAGCGAGGAGTTGAGGAAAGAAGAAACAGAGTTGACAGGAAAAAGTTTCGGTTTTTTAATGCTCGGTTGACCCGCTGGTAGAGTCTAGCCTGTTTGAGGATTAGCGTACCACGTGATATAGCTCAATGTCCATCAATCACGTTGTGTTTGCGTTAGGTACGGAGTATCAGGTTTCAGAAATTCCATACCTTTAGAATAGCTATGCAGTGCACATCGATAGCAGAGATTAGAAGTAAGATGGGTTTGGATATATATTTAACATCATGGCTATGAGTGAGTGATAAAGTCTTATGAGATTCTACTTGAAGCCGAGCAGGCTAGAGCGGTTACAGCAACTCTTGTCACAGACATATACATTCAACAATTTATCCCAAACAATAGCAGACCCTTTTGTGCTAACAAGATACAGAGAACACGAAAAGAATAGCCCTACGCATTCACCTTCTTAGCCTTCTTGTCCTTGACCCCAGCCTTTGTAGCTGGTGAAGCGGAAGCTCCATTCACCCCCTTTTTCGCCGACGCCTTTTCGCCATCCTGCTTGGGTGTCCCCTGCTTAGGAGTCGATTGGCTTGCCTTCTTCTCCTTCTTAGACTTCTTAGGAGTCTCGTCCACGGTAGTCTCCTCCTTGGACTCCTGGGCCGAGGGTGCCTCGATAGCCTTCATGGGCTCATCGGCAGTCACATCGGCAGCTTCGATCGCCTTGGTCTCTTCTTGGACAGGAACTTCGTCGACGCTCTTCAGCTGGGGAAGCTCATACTCATAGCCCAGAGCCTTCAGCTTCTCGGCCTTTGCAAGTCGTCTCTTCTGCTCCCGCTCAATGCGCTCCGACCATTGTTCCCTCGTCTTGCCCTTTTCCAGCCTCTTCTTCTCGATGCGGTTCCATGGGGTGCGCTTGAATCGTCTGTTGGCACCCTTCCAGACCTCCGGGTGCAACTGATCGGAGGGGACATATTTGCATTTCAGGATATGGCCGTACATCAGGTAGTTGTCCATAGTCTCCGCGACAATCTTGGCAACAGTGTTCGAGGCGAACTCCACGAAAGCGTAGTGCTTTGAGCGACCGGTGATGCGGTTACGCGAGAGACGCAGGCGAGTAATTTCGCCGAATTGGGAGAAGTAAGCGCGCATCTGATGTTCGTAGAAACCGTGGGGAATACGTCTGTGGAAAGGAGATGGTAAGACTTTGTCACGGCGGAGCAGCCAGGCAAGAGAGGACTGCTGAAAACTTACCCAATATAAACCGTTCCGGGAGCTTCGGGCTCACCGTGCTTCTTTTGCTTCTTCAAGATCTTGCGCTTCGCCTTCTTGGAATCGGGGATCTTGGGAACCGGCTGGTCAGGATCAAATCCTTCGTCTCCGGATTCGTCCTCGTCGCCGCTGCTCTCGAAACCCTTGATCAAAGCGGCGGTCTGATCGTCTAGTGTATCATCTTCCTCGTCTTCAGAACTATCATCGGAGACAACAGGGACCTGCTCGTTATCCTCATCGTCCGACTCTTCGACGACAGGCTCAGGCTTCTTCGCCTTGGTCGCCTTGGGCTTTGCAGCAGCAGCGCTTGTCTTGGCTTTTGTAGCGGGCGCAGGGGTGCCGTCTTCCTTCTTCGACTTCTTCTTACTGGGCTGCTTCTTCTCCTCGGTATCGGCCTTGGGTTCGGACGCAACAACTTCCGGCTCACTCTCGTCGTCGCTGAGGAAATCCGCCGCACGCTTGCGAGGCTTGACCTGTCTTGCCGGCTCGCCATTGAGCTTCACTTTGGAAGTGGACTTTTGCTCTGTAGCAGGGCCATCCTTCTTGTTCTTCTTCAGAATAGACTTGGGGGTTTCTTTGGGGGCTTCGCTCGGCTTGGCCTCGACCTTCTTGGTCTTCTTTGCGGGCGAGTCGGCGGCTACTGTGCTGGCAGCTGTATTGTGTTAGAAGACAGGGAAATAGCCGAAAACCATGATAGAAAATGGACATACCCTTGCGCTTCTTGTCCTTCTTATCGGGTGCCATATTTCTGGTTATTGTGTGTTGTATGCTAGGTTGAAGCACCTACCAAAAAAAGGTGCGGGAAACTTTTTTTTTTGGTCTCCCATTTTTTCTCCGACGGGGTCGACCGCCAAGCGGTGAGTTTGGTCTCCGCAGGCACCACAGCGGGATTCATCCACACAGGAACCAGTAACTGCTCATCTACGCAACTACAAGTTGCTCATAAAATGGGGAAAACAAAGAATGCGAATAGGCCCCTGACACAAGAAGAAATATGGGACGATTCCGCCCTCGTTCAAAGCTGGGATGAAGCAGTCGAAGAGTACAAAGTACGTCTCCTGTACCTCTCACGTGACTTTAATCTAACGCAGTTCCAACAGTTGTATCACAGCATACATGCCAAAGGCGAGAACGTCGAAGATGTTCTAAGAGAAGCAGAGGCTGCGGAGCGTGCCGGGTTGGATCAGGACGGACAGCAGCCTGATGAAGCTGTCGATGCCATGGAGGATGATGACGCAGCGGCGGCGACAGCATCTGCTACAGCAGAACAAAGCTCATCAATGCAAGTACCAGATGTGAGTCGCCCCTTGCAGCATCGAACAAGCGAACATGTTTTTCTGACTGTTTTCAGGCTGTAGAGGAGCACGCGACAGCGACTGATCAGCAGCCGTCCGGGATGAAACATCCAACTGAGCCTGCTCCTGCGGGAGCAGCTGCGATGCCACATGCTGCTTTAGCACAAGGTAACCTTCCCTGCATAGCCTTAGGGCCTGCGATGACTAACTTTTGAACATTATAGTTCAGGATGAAGGGTTGAAGAATCTGATGATGGCCTGGTATTTCGCCGGTTACTACACCGGTCTATATGAAGGGCAACAACGAGCGAGCCAGAACAACAATTCATGATGTTGTCTTTAGCACTCGAAAGGGATGCCACTCTGAAATACGAAACAGGTAGTCTGTTTGGAGGCCTGCTTGAGACACGGGAACGAGCTCACAAGAAGAGTATACGCCCCGCGGCAGAACTGGTTCCACGAGACTACGCAGAATGGTGTGGTCGGGTATACATATATCTCCACATGTGAGCCTGCGTATTTGGGAGCGACTGGATCAATCTGCAGACAGCCTGAGCAGGGATGGAGAGATGAAGGGGTAATTTGATTATAGCTTGTTGTCCTGGCACTGTCCATCGCCACCATAATCTCCGTTATTGTACATATAAGTTCGCTATGAGCATCACAACAGATTTGGCTCGGCGCTGGAGCGTTCAGGTCCAAGGCAAACTCAGTCAGAAACAGGAGCCCTTATCATCTTGGACCAATGCGTGCTATCGGTGCTCTGTTCCCCCCCGTTCGACCCTGAACATGCTTCCAATTGCCCAAGAAGTGACGTCGAAGCATGATGAAGTGCATCCAAAGACGGAAGTTTACAGCCTGTTCCATCGTCGTAACATGCCATAGACCCGTGATATTTTCGGAAATTAGTAGGTATAAAGAAATTTCATTGTCATTTGAGATTCTAATTAATGTACTAGTCAAGGACCAATCTTGTTTCCACCGCACCACGAAACATCCAACAATTTCGCTCCTAAGGAGGAAAGCAAGGCATAGACTGCACCCAACGGTTCCGACAAAAACCTCGCATCCCTGGAAATCAGAACTATTGTCAACATTTTCAACCATCCCGGGCGAACCACACGCCTCCACTTGTCTTCGACACATGTAATCTACCGAGTTGGCAGAAGGCTTCCCAGACCCTCGCCACCTCCCAACACACCTCCAATGATGGGAATGTGCGAGAGCGGGTTTGTGCTGCCCTGCTTCTTCTTCGGAGCAGCAGCAGCAGAGCTGCTGGCAGCGGCGGGGGTCTGCACAGTGCTGCGAGTGCCCGATGGGATGGGCTGCGGCGTTGTGGTTGCCTCCTTCACATTGGCTCCATGAGCAGCCGAGGCCTTATCAGGGATGCCGGTCGTCTCCTTATCCACATTCTCAAAGGCCTGATTGAGTTAGTTTGTGGGTCTGAATTGAACAACTTGCAGAGAGAAGTGTTAGCGGCAGAAATACGCACCCTGAGAGCACTGAGAGCCGCTGCAACGGCATCACCGGCATCCAAATCGTCGTCGTCACGCTTGGCGGGCAAGGCCGAGACTACGAGGGCCAGGAAGAAGCAGAGAGCAAGGAAGGACAAGCTGAAACGAGCCATTTCGGATGAGGTGAAGAGGTGGTATTGCGATTATTGTGGATGTGATTCCTGAAAGGAAAGGATATCTCAAAGGAGAGGACGCCGTCAGGCACAAGAGGAGAGTTATCTGGCTTGCAACTGCAGTGCTTGACACCGAGACAGTCAAGGAGGAAAACTTAACAGTTGACCATCAGCGAGGTCGAGGCCATGCTTTATAGATAACATTCTCATACTGGGGAGTGGAAGGGGGAGTGGAATGTCAACTCAGAGAACATTTGCTCCCCTTATCGGCTTGCGCGTCTCTACGTGAGTACTTAAGGAATGTCACCAACCTCGTCTATCGAATGTAAGAGCAAATTCTCCTGACGGGAGGTTTGCGTATGCAAGTTCCGCGGGTCAGCTACGTGCCTTGGTATTAAGCAAGGGGTGATATCAAACTCACACCTGCAGCTTCAAGACATTGGCCCTTTTCAAAGCCGGTTTACATTCTGACCCAAGGGGGCAACGAAAGAATGTAGATCGTCGTCTGCCCTTGGAAGCGCCACCTTACGTAGCTGGCTTGACGAGGAGAGTTTGCTTCATAGTCAAAGTTATTCGAGGCGAAAGCTTAATGATGTTTGAAACAGAGCTGCACGCGAGGGTTGATGAAGTACGATAGGTGATAGAGCATCAGTGAAAAGTAAATTTGATTCAATCATGGTTCCAAATTATGGAAACTAAGGCACCACGACACATTCCACCGTCGATGGTAGTGCTGGTTGATACCTGTGGATGATCATGCACCCATGCAGAACAGTACTACTGGAATGTACCTCCCTTCTTTTGACACGTACCGCTCCATGTGATTGAGAGCGGACGCAACACGAGGGAGGTCTTAAGCAACAAGATGTTGACTCATTCTCGGCACGATTTTGACCTCGAATATCATGGAAGAGATGACGGACGAGACTTCGAAAATGCCTAATGATCGTGTATAGGAAAGCGAGAAAGTTGCCGCCTACGAGTAGTCAATACCATAGTGACCTGTAGGTTAGTTCGCGAGCGAGCATTGAGCATGGATCGACGGAGGGTGTCTAGGAGATGATCATCTTCATCCATTTGAACATCCATTCCATAGATCACCGGTTGCGATTGAAGCAAAAGATTGCGATTGAAGTAAAAGAAAAGTAGTACTGGATATCCGCCCTAGAAGATATCGAAATTGACTCCCTTCAAGGGATGTATGCTCAAAAGCGAACCCAACCACCTCGTGCGCGTATGGCAGGTGTTGGGATTAGAACGAGCACGCGATAATCGCTCTCGGTCTCGAATCTAAAATTTGCAGACGGAACGGATAAGCTTTGATGGTCAAAACAATCCATCAACAAGGGTATGTTGGAGACCTGGTAAAGAGAAAAAGAAGAAAAGGAGGTGAAGAAGAAAAGAAACGCAAAATTTATTCCATTTCCGTGGTGGAAATCTCGACTTAGGTAAGCAGGCTTGTGCGGTCAAACTTGCAACCGGTCCCGAAGAAGAGATGAAGTACGGAGTACCTAATTGATTGCATAAACAATGGTATTTACAAAATGGATATATCGCTGTCCTTGGAATCTCATTAAATGGCAAAGTCATGTTTATTTCTCGCCGAAAAAAGTCCTTTGACTTAGAAGCGAGCGAGCACTCTCTCCTGAGTGTCACCCAGGGCCCACTCGTCGTTGTGCTTCTTGCTGAGGACCGATTTGACTTGCTCGGCTGTGAAGCCCTTTGCCTCGACGGCTGGATTGTATCCCAGTCCAGTGATCTTCGCGACAACGTCTGAAGGAACTGCAGTCGCAACCTTGCCGTCCGCACGCTTATATACAGTCACGACGACTGCACCACCCAAGCCAAGGTTGTGCTGCAGTGCCGCATCTGTTCCCTGGATCAATCGGTTGTTGGCCCATCCGCGCAGGTGCCAGACCAGCTCAGAACACTGCGCAAGGCCGGTAGCACCCAGGGGATGACCCTTGGAGATGAGACCGCCCGAGGGATTGATGACCATCTTGCCTCCATAGGTGATATCACCTTTGCGAACCATCTCGTGCGCCTTGCCAGGCTCACAGAGCTCGAGTGCGTCAATCGTGATCATCTCATTGGCAGAGAAGCAGTCGTGCAGTTCGCAGACCTTCATGTCCTTAACGTTGACGCCAGCCTCAGCAGTGGCCGCCCGACAGGCGTAGCGGGTCATCCCAAAGCCCATCAGGTCGATTGAGCTTCGGTTGTAGAGAGTGGGTGTGTCCGTTGCAAGCTGCTGACCTGCGATCAGGATTGCCTGGTCTTTGAGGTGGGGACGGGCGTCTAGGAATGCCTGGGAGACGATCACAGCGGCAGCACCCCCATCCGAGGTTGGGCAGCACTGCAGCTTGGTGAGGGGCTCGTGAATCATAGGCGCCTTGAGGATCTGCTCGAGCGTGTATTCATCCTGGAACTGCGAGTAGGGGTTGCGCTTGGAGTGTTCATGGTTAATACGAGCGATTTCCGCGAAGTCTTCATTCTTGGCTCCATACCTGAAGGAAGTTAGTACGGCAGGGTAAATCATGCGGCATTTAGTATGGTTCAACATACTTCTCCATGTACTCCCGACCAGCATTGCCAAACATCTGTGCAGCACCGGGGGCGTTGGTGATTCCCCTCGTCTCGGCCATCATCATACCGAAGAGACCAGTCGGATTGGCCCGGTCGTTGTAGACCGACTGCAAGCTTCCAGGGCTCATCTTCTCGAAACCAATAACAAGAACACAGTCCGCAGCGCCGTGGGAGACCATGGTGCGAGCCATGGCCAGACCGGTTGAGCCGGTTGAGCAGTTGTTGTTGACATTGTAGATGGGGATGTTGGTCAGACCGAACTGGTAGAAGACACGCTGACCGCAGGTACTATCACCGTAAACGTAGCATGCAACACCTTGGTCGACATCATCGTAATTGATGTGAGCATCCAGCATAGCCTTGACACCGGCCTCAAATCCGAGTTCATGGTAGTCGACCTTGCCACGAGGCTTGATAAACTTGGTCATGCCCACGCCTAGGACATAGGCGGGCGCTACTTGCTTCTTTCCCATGCTGATTAGTTGGGCCCCGAGAGGTACGTAAATGTTGTATCTTTGTAAGGTAAAAGGTTGAAGATATTGAGCACTGGATCAAAGGAAGATATGGTTGTCATAGATATAACATTTGCCGTTCTGCGAGCGTGTGGGAGAGCTCCTTGAATGCGGAGAAGAATTGTTGTGATTAGTGATTAGACTGGTAGTTGTTTGAAAGCATCCCCATTATTGGATTGCGGGGGATAAGCCGCTGCCGCGACCGAGGTCCCGAGGATATTTGGTTGATCATGCTGCCATGCATCCATCAGAGCGCATAAAGAGGATATGTACGTGGTAGTCGTGTGTTTCATATGATTGTCCTTGCATACCCGGCTTTTCTTTTTGTTTTATGTCCGTGTTTTTGATTGACTTGGGATAAAGATAGAATGAAGGCAGGCGATGCCATACCACACGTGAATAGAGATGAGCTCAGGGTGAATCAACACATTTCCACATTGAAGACCTATCAGGGACATAAATATTCTAGGACTCAAGGGTCTATCACAAAGACAGTCAGGGTCATAAGCAATAAAGAGCTATGTGCTATTAATGCTCAGCCCATTAGAAGTAAAGAAGGCTAAGGGCTAAAAGAATATAAAGACCTAAGATGAAGCCTAAGCAGCAGGTGAAGGCTATCACCAAGGAGACATAAAGAGGTATAGTTGAGGATATTTGGGCTCAGAGGAGACTAGCAAAGAAGAGGAAATAGGTGAACAGTGAAACTATGTATATTATATTAGCATTTTCTAACCATGTGCTCTGTACAGTCAACACCTGCTTTAGCAAGCTGTGCATGAATATATTTCAGATAGACAACCACAAGCTCCAAGTTCCCAACTCCATATGGACTACCTTACCCAATAGCATCTCTGCTGAATGGATCATCATTGACATTTGTCCAAAACAGTTCTATAGGGCAACTTCCCAAGCTACTGTCCCTTATTACTTTCTCTTTAATGTTATGGCTTGCTGATTAAGGGTTGGTACAAGGTCACCTGTATATTCAGAGACCGAATAAACTAACCGCATAAAATTCATGGATCATCAGCGATTTCCCTACTGATCCAAGGGACGTACTGAATGAGTTGAGCCAATGCCATCACTGATTCCATCTGTGCTTGTTCGATCGATCCCACTGTAGGTAGGTAAATAGTATCACCCTTTGGGAAACTCTGCTCGTGCTCCGGTCTGGTAATACACTCATGAGAGGTACAAGAGTGCAACAGTGTTTTGTTCCTCTGTCGAATAGCCTTGTACGAGGTTCATCAATGTATTCTCTGACAGCAGCAATGGCCTGATACTAACCAGTGATGCATGCCTGAGGAATCATAATGCCCCACCTACCTTACAGTAGTAGTCCGAGCACACCCTTTTCCGATACAGAGCCAATCAAAATGGCTGCTGAATAGGGCGGGGTAAACGCGACCTGCACCGGACTGGCTTGTCCGCAGCAGCATCTCCCTTGCCACGACCGCCACATCGATTCTTGAGTACAGTCCTCCATGATAACTGGTTAGTCTGCCAGGGAATTGGAGAGATACTTACCTTAGGTAGCTAGTAGCTACTCCATAGTGAGTTAGTGCTTCATAGATAGTCCCCTAAGAGCTATGAAATGCTCAGCTGCAAATATACCCAAGCTCAAGCTTAACGGCTGGTGTATTGTAGAAAATCTTCTCGAGCAGGAGCAGGAACGAATTGATCTGCAAGCGACCCTGTGTCCCGGCCACTATACCTCTTCTTCATGACATGCGACTCCAGACGGGCGCGCTGGATGCTTCACGACGACGTCACCGAGCTAGAGCCCCTAAGCCATTTCGAGAAGTCCGTGATCCACCGGCGCAGGACGGCCCACATGCCTGCCCGAATTCTGAGGTTTAGCTGCTGTTCGGACTTTGAACTAGGCTAGTCACTGGTGGGAGTATTCAACTCAGTTCACGACTGGACGGGTCGTTGTCTGGCTTTCTGTTTGCCCTTCTAGCGATCTTTCCTCTTCATACTCTGTCAAGTGGTGACCATCTTGACTGGTATTTCCACTGGAGAGGAGACATCCAGCTCACACGAGGTAAGTGCTTGATTATGTTCCTCCCATGCAAGTTTTGGGATTTTCTTTTGCTCACAAAAACGAGAAATGTTGATGCAGACTTGCTGATTGAAGCTCTGTCACTGCTATGGTATAGTGCGATCGAATTGCCTCGTCAGTTTGAAAACTTTCGAATGCCGTAGACAGGTCAAGATTTCGTGAATCATCATTGTCGCCAGAGCTCTGCCAGTCTGCTGTCCTCCATTGCCGGTCATCCTAGCCTCTGGCCCTCCTCAAAGACGAAAGAAAGACCATATACAAGGGCTGTTTCAGTCCGCTTCATGGACAATTGTGGGACGCTGAACGGTCTGCTCGCACCCTGAGAGACCGCTTTGCGTTCCATAGGGTTCCCCAGCCTACTGCTCACGATATTGAATGTTTCCGCGTCTCACCTGACTTCTGCCGACTAAGCAATCAATTGTAGCAGAACTCCTCTATCTTCTGCCCCAGATGGGCAACTTTCAGGGATGACTTTGGACGAACACACTGAACATGCGCCCTTTGTGTCTTCACCTCCACAACCTTCCACTGTCAGAATGCCAGCGGACAACACCTGGATTATGGATGATGCCACACGCAACAAATTCTTGAAGAAATACAAAACCCAGGTGGCGTCGGCGACCTCGACAATCTGCGCGACTCTCTCTGTGGTAAGTGTGGATTATCGAGTGTTGACATAGCGGGATGGATGCTGATATGTCTGGTTTTCCTAAGACTCCTCTGGAGAATATCAAGACCCGTATGCAGACGTATGTTATTTCGTTCCGCAAATTCACTGCAAGAAGGGAGCTGGCAGAATTGACCCCGTGAACAGACACAACTTCCAAAATGTCTTCCAATGTGTCCGCTACCTCTGGCGTACCGAGGGACCCCGGGGCTACGTCGCTGGTAGGTTGACATCGCCCTTGAGATCTACGCAATCGACGGGTCTAATATTCGAAATGCAGGAGCTCTGCCTCCTCTGGCAAGTGTCACCGCGGTCCGTGTCGTGAATTTCTCCACGTACAACGTAGCCAAACACCGCATCTCCGAGTTTGTCGAGAGAATTACGGGCGAGTCTCCTCTGGCAACCTACAACACGCCTGGCAGCAGTCCCACTGTGTCCACTCTTTTGACCTTTACTACCGCGGGCTTCATTGCCGGCCTGATCACCTCTCCGCTTGCATGTAAGTTTCGTGATTGAATCCAACCGCCACAATTGCTGATTCGGTAGGTCCCTTCGAGCTGGCCAAGAACGTTGTGCAGACGTCCGTCTTGGTCTCTCATCGTTCCCAGGCGTCTCCCGATGCGGTGCGGGACCCATCTCTGCGCAACAAACCACGCCTCGGCACCATCGAGGCGATCAGGCAGATTGTTCGCCGTTACGGGTTTCGCGGCTTGTACACGGGTTTCCATCTCCATGCGATGCGCGACACAATTGGATCCGGCTTGTATTTTAGCGTCTACGAGACGGTCAAGCAGCTCGCGGCAAAGGAACTGGGACCGGACAAGTCTCCTTTTGGAGGTCCGATGATTGCCGGTGCCATTTGTAGCACCGTGCCTTGGTTTTGCGTAAGGCGCTTTTTCTCTAATGAAACGGTCTTAATTGCTAACCTTGGCCAGACCTATCCACTTGATACTCGCAAGACCCGTGCCCAGAGCGTGCTACTTGGCAAGTCCAAGGAGGTGGGCGAAGCATCAGCGGCCGTTTCCAAGTCGAGTATGTATAAAGGTCTATCGGTCATTCTTCTTCGTACGGGAGTCAATAATATGATTCTCCTGAGTATGTTCGAATACATTAAGATGCGGATCAACCAGCTGGAGGGCTAGCGGAAATTGCATTGTTGATTTTTCTTGCAGACAACGGAGCTGGTCTTTGGCGCACTTGGGATAGGCATTGTATTTCTTTGCATGGTTTGGCATATGTTTCGAGTACATAAATACATGAGCTAGAAGCTCGTAGCAAATATCAGGATGAATCAATGATGTCAAAAAATACACCCCTAAATATAGACGGAAGGACGTGGAATGCCTCAGGCAGAAGGACGTCATCCGTTGCCATAGCCAGGCAGGCGGGGTTGGGCGTCTCGCTGTCAACAAAAAGTTCCTAACGGCGGCCACTTTGACTGCGACGCTTCCTATGCCTCAACCAGCACAATGACAACGTACGTGCTGTTAGAACCTTTTCAATGATGTGTTTACTGATGTTCTTCTTAGGAATATCCTTCAGGTTCCGTTTCGGCGCTCCCATGCCGTTTCCTTGTCCGATGCAATCACCCAGTACATTTCGTCCAAATATGACCAGCGACCGGATATGTTCGCAGATGATCTCTTGATCATTGACCGTTTGCGAAATGAGGCGATCAATGTCCAGGAGCCCCATGTCAGCGGGATCAGTCGACTGGTCACGTACGCGGCGCAACTGAAATGGCTAGGTGGGAAGTTTCCGGTGGATGTGAGTGTACTGGGAACAAGCACTTTGCGCGTACAGCATGCTGATTGAGTGTTATAGGTGGGAGTGGAATTTCCATGGTATCCTGCCTTTGGATTCAATACAACAAGACCTAGTATGTGATTACTGGTATACCAGGGATGACTCCGGATGAGCACTGACAGTCGTCAAGTTTCACAGAATAACCTTCGCTTCGAATTGGCCAACATCCTCTTCAATCTGGCGGCGCTATACTCCCAGCTAGCCTTTTCGGTTAACCGAACGACTTCCGACGGACTCAAGCAGGCATGCAATTACTTTTGCCAGTCTGCGGGGGTCCTCCTGCACCTACGAGCCGATATCCTGCCCGACCTGCGAACGTCCCCGCCCGAGGATATGGATGAAATGACCCTGCAGAGTTTGGAGCAACTTCTTCTGGCCCAGGCACAGGAATGCTTCTGGCAAAAGGCCGTCAAGGACGGTCTGAAGGATGCATCGATCGCCCGGCTGGCGGCCAAGGTTTCTGACTTTTACGCCGAGGCCGGCGACTACGCGGTCAAGTCCAATGCGATCAGCCCTGAGTGGATCCACCACATGACGGCCAAACACCATCACTTTGCGGCCGCGGCGCAATACCGCCAGTCGCTGGACTGCCTGGAGAAGCGAAAGTACGGCGAAGAAGTGGCGCGGCTGCGGGATAGTGAGGCGTGCGTCAACGAGGCGCTCAAGGAGTCTCGTTGGATAAACCGGGCCGTGCTGGGAGATCTCAATGGTCTGAAGAGCCGTGTGTCGGAGGACCTTAAGCGGGCGACCAAAGACAATGATGTCATCTATCTCAACCCTGTGCCGCCCAAGTCGGAGCTCAAGATCATCGACCGCGCGTGTATGGTTGCGGCCAAGGCGCCATCTCAGGTGACGGATGCGATATCCATGCTGGGGGAGAACGGGCCTTTGGGGCAGCCGCTGTTTGCCAAATTGGTGCCATATGCAGTTCATATTGCAGCCAGTATCTACTCCGATCGCCGCGACCGATTGGTCAACGAGAGAATTATTGGGGAGTTGGAGACCATGACGGACAAACTACGGGAGTATGTTCTTGCAACTCTAATGGCTGGCAGCTTTTTAGTGGAATTAAGCTGACCTTTGTTAGTTTGCTATCATCGCTGAACTTACCAGGATCTTTGCAGGCGCTTGAGAAGCCGCTTGGACTGCCTCCAACGTTGGTAGCTCACGCCGAGGAGATGCGACAGCAGGACGGGCTGCACCGGCTGCGGAGGTCGCTTGAAGATATAGCCAAGGTCAAGGCCAACGACAAGGCGGTCTACAATGAGGGCGTCGAGCTGCTGGCGGCCGAAAAGGCGGAGGATGATGCTTCACGGCGGAAATACGGAACTGATCGATGGACCCGGCAGACGTCCGAGGCGGCGGCGCCGAAACTGTACACCACGTCGAGTGAGATCAGCGGGTATTTTACGTCGGCGCAAAGCAGCGACAATCTCGTGGAGCAGAAGCTACGGGACTCGGAAGCGGTCTTTCGGGTGCTCACAGGCACCAATCGCGACCTGGAGATGTACGTTCCCAGCAGCCGACGGGCTGCAATCCCGCCGGAGGTGGAGCGCGAGTTGATCCGGCTGCGGGGATGCCTGAGCGAAGTGAGTCGGTTGGAGAGCCGAAGGAAGCGGCGAGCGCAGGCGTTGAAGGAGAAGGCCCGGGCGGATGATGTCACGCAGGCGCTTTTGAAGGAGACTGCGCGGTTGGAGCGGGAGTTTCCCATGCAGCCGATCCAGGCAAGCCAATTTGAGGATCTGTTCGAGGAGCAACTTCATCTGTACGACTCGGACCTGGAGATGGTTGCGCAGGAGCAGCATGATCAGGACCAGGTTGCGGCGCAGGTGCGCGAAGCCAACCGGGCATTCACTCGGGCGCACAAGGGGGATGCGTCGACCAAGGAGCGGGAGAAGGCGCTGCAGGAGCTGGAGAACGGGTATCTGAAGTACAAGGAGATCATCTCGAACATTGAAGTGGGCCGGAAGTTCTACAACGATCTGGCCAAGATTGTGGGGCGGTTCCGGGATGACTGCAAGGCGTTTGTGCACCAGCGCCGCATGGAGGCGAGTCAACTAGAAAGGTATTTCTCTTGTCATCGGTTTAGGTGTGATACTGATCGATTTAGTGATATTGCAAGTGCTGCAGCGATGGCTTCGTTGAATATTTCGCAACCTCGCCTTCGACAGCTGCAGCAGCCACCGCACCAACCACAACTATCATCACCTCCAGCAGCTGTTCAGCCGCCCGTTCAGGTGCAACCATCACGACCACCGGAAGAACCGCTGACGGCGCCGCAACCGACACGAGCGCCGGTGGCACCGCCCGCGGTTCCGACGCCTGGCATGTGGTCACCAGAGATGGGGATCCGGTTCGGGGGAGGGAACAGCCGAGGACAGCCGGGGCAATGGGATCCCAGCGATGGAATCAGATTCGGTTGATGTATGCATAGACAGATGTATCCAGATGTATATACAAGGAATGATACCATGAGTATATAGCGAGCTAAGTCACCCGACGCATCACGGCGGCCGCCTCGGCAGCCAATTCCCTAGTCTTGATATCCAGATCTTCCGCCAGACTCAGAAACTGAAACCGATCAATCCACATCTGCCAGCGACTTTTGGAGACAGTCACCGCGGCCTCCCCTGCAGCAACAGACTCGCGCTGCGAAGGCGAAAGAGATAACCCCACGGGAAATTCTTCAGTCTCATGCCTCCTTTCCCACAATTCCTCACCCATGACCAACGCCCAGATGGCCGCACAGGAGACGAAAACAGCCATCTTTTTCCGTTTCCCGGTCCCTGGCGGTACACCGACACCAGCCCCCGTACCCTCCTGCTTCATCTCCGGGTGACGACGGTGATAATGGTGCTGCTCGCCCCTCTCAAGCGCAACCCTCAAAATATGGATCCCTACGTCTTCTAACCGGACAATCCGCTCCTTGGTGATGAATGCTAGGAAGGCGTGGAGGTTTTCCCATTCCTCTTTTGCGGTTTCATTTTCGTTTGATGTTGAGGTGGAGGACTCGTCCTCGTCCTCGTCCTCGTTCTCGTTCTCGTACTCGGATAGAATATCGGCGATTGCTGATTTTAGTTCCGCTTGCGATTGATCTGCATCTGCATCTGCATCCTGGTTTGTGAGTGGGAGAGTCCGCAGTGAGTCAATGAGGGATTGTTGCTGTGGGGAGGGGAGGTCGGGTTTTGGTGTGGATGTTCGTGGGGTGTGTTTTGCGGTGGTGAGGAGGGAGGGCCAGCTTGCAGTTGGGGTGGACATTCTGATTTTTACTGATGTTCATTTTCATGTTGGTCTTTTTGTCTTGTCTTGTCAGGTGTTGAGGTTGATGTAGATATCTGGTGGTGTGGTAGTCGATGACGTATGACAGTTACCTTATCGATATGGGAATGGCTGGTTGAATAAATAATTGATATTGGGTATCATTCGTTATGTATCATATGTACACCATTCGTATATACACCCTTGTATTCACAATACCAGAGGTGCAACCGGACAGGAGGCAACTACTCCTTCTCACCCACCTCGACGTCCACCCCCCCAAGGAAGAAATCCAATTCACTCGGCCCCCCCGCGGAATTCTGCTCGTTCTCCGCCAACTGCTCCAGCAGACTCAGGAAGGGATCCTTCTCGATGGACCCCGCCTCGCTGCTGCCGCCGCCGGCGCCGGCAGTATGTGATGAACTGGCCTGGGACTGCGCGCCGGGCGTCATGATCGTTTGGCCGGTGTGGTTTTGATGGTTGTTGTTGTTGTTGTTGTTGTTGCTGCTGCTGCTGCTGTCGAAGGGGAAGGTGGCGTACTGCGGGTGTGAGGGCGGAGTGGGCGCCACGTGCAGGGATTCTGTCAGGAAGGCGGGCGGCGAGAAGCCGAACATGGCTGATGGGGGTGGTGGGGAGAAACTGTGGTTGTGATTGTGGTTGTGGTTGTGGTGATTGGGGTGGGGATGGTGGTGACCGTTGCTGGCATCCGAGGAAGAAGGATGGGTCAGGTCGGCATTGCCGAGCGTAAACGTGGATTGGAGTTGCGGCGAGGGCTGGGGATGCTGCGAGGGATGAAAGGTGAGCGATGGGGACGAGACGCCGGGCGGCTTGGTCGCGGTGCTGGCGGTGCTGTGCGAGTCGCGGCGTGGTGACGGGCTGTGGTTGGATGGGAGGGTGACGGGCGCGCGAGGCGGTTGGTTATGGTACATGGGATATGCGGTCATGGGTCGGTAGTATGGGTCCAATTGGGGGCTACAGAGTCAGATCATACTGCGTCAGAGCAAGGAGAGGGCAAACCTACGTATCATCCATATCGACCAGGCGCACGTGCGACCCGTCGGCCGTCAGACCGGGATAGCGATCCAAAAAGTCTTCCAGGTGAAAGACGGGCGAAAAGCGCATGGGACTGGTGGCCAGCGTGCGGACCAGTTCGGCATGACAGGTGTAGATGGTCTGCAGCATCTCGCGCTGGTGCTGGACGCCGGCCCAGTAGGACCCCAGCCAGGTCAGCTGGTGCATCTCACGAGTAAGAAACTCGGCGCTGGACGAAAACACCTCGCCCTCGCGGCCCTTGTAGTGCACCCCGTGCACGTGGACCGTTCCCGCCGTGCAGACGCAGTACCCGACAAAGGCAGGCCATTCGATCAGCGGGGAATTGCGGGCCAGCTCGACGAGCTCGGCAATGGCGTTGGAGTGCGAAAAACACAGGTTCGTCGCCTCGATCTGCCACGACTGGTGCTGGCCGGTGCCACGCAGCTCGGCCAGGTCAATCGGCAGGAATGGGCGGTAGATCAGACAGTGGACGAGATGATAGATGAGCTTGCTCAGCAGCAGGATGGAGCTCTCGGGATGGCCGAACAGCGCTTCCACCGAAGCAAAAACATCCTGGGTACCGGTAGCCCAGATGTCCAGTTCCTGACGGATCTTGGACAGGTTGGACAGCGAGTGCCAGGGAAAGTGCGAGTCGCCCTTGACGCCGCCGGCGGCCAGGTAGCGGTTGGTGATGCCCAGGATGCGGGTGATGTCGATGAGGAGGGCGGTGGCCCCGGGTTTACGGCGCGGGTCGCTCGAGTACTGGATGTTGGGGCCGACATTGTTGAAGAGCTCGCCCTCGACGTTGAGTCCGGCCGTATGCGGGGACCAAGCGGGGAGCCGCAGGACGATGGAGTGGTCGGCGATGAGGCCGGGACGTTTCGAGCCGCAGGTCAGGAAGCGGTCCATGATGTAGACGGCCCAGAAGAGCCGGCGGCGCATCTCGCGTTCCACTGCAGGCAGACCCTTCGGGGGCTCGCGGTAGAGGTCCAGAGCAATGGCCATGGAGGCACAGTTGGCTGTACAAGTCAATCAATACTATCCTTTCTTTCAGGGAGGCGATGGTTGCATACTGAAAGTCATATAGGCCTTTTTGCCCAGACCATGAGCAAAGTATGTCTGCGAGAGTAGGAGCAGGGCTTGTAGCCCATCCATGGTCGGTTGATCGACATCTACCATGCGTCGGGCCTGCAGGGCATAATCCAGGGCCATTCGCAGGGACTGTTCGGAGGTGTTCGGCGAGCTCGTATATCTGCAATGGTCAGTGCTGAACTAGATGCACGAACAGGAAAAAACAAACCGCAAGGTAATGGCGTAGATGGCCATCGACAAAGCGGCAGGCAATTGCCCCATCTGATGACTCTGCCGAGTCACCGACTCGTCCAGGATGAAGTAGGGTTTGCCATGGATGCGGGCAAAGTACGCATCCAACATGGAATCCGGCAGGGCAAAGTAATGCACGGGAGGCGACGGCTGCGACGGAAAGGAGAATGGCCGTGGAAAAGGTTCGGATGGGGGGACGTTGGTAGTGGATGTGCTGGAGGTGGATGCGCGGGCGAGGGCATGCATTGAGGCGGACGGATCAGGAGGTTCCTTGTCCGGCTCGACGGGTGAGGTGGGCGAGATGGGATTTTTATTTTCATCCTGCAGACGTTTCTCGAGACCGTCGACACGCTTGAGCAGGGCTTCGAGGACGTCTGTTTTGGGGCCGCGCTTTTTGGGGACGGCATCTACGACAGTCAGTAGGGTACATGACAGGGACGGGGGGTATGAGGCGAGATACCGTAGATGCATGGGCATTGAAAGACCTTGCATGCTTCGCAGCTAGGACGCATACGATTGCATTTGATCTACAAATTAGAATTGACTTCGTTAGACAGGAGAGAACACTCACCTTTCGCTTTCGACATGATTTGCAGTTCATGGACTCGCGCGGTTCGGCAGTGACTCGGCGGGGAGTAAGCCGGTCAATACTGACGGCGGGACGAGAAATAACCGACGACATAATGATTTGATGATAGATAGAATAGATACAGAAAAGAGATTGATCAAGACATTGGGAAGAATGAGACAGCAGAGAAGAAGGAGAAAAGGAAGCGGAGGGAAGAGAGCGAGGAGGAAGGGAAAGGAAGAGGAAAAGGATGAGGATCAGTTAAATTAAAGTGGCCGACTCCAAGACGCACGATCAGGAAGGATTAAGTCCAAGGCTTAAGCAAAAGTAAAAGTAAAACAGGGATGAAGATCATAGACAAGTCTGCAGTAGTTGACTAGTGGCAGCAGCAAGAAGAAGGAAGAAATACGAAGCATGAGGAGAGAACGAGAATGGCCAGAGAGTGGGGGAATCTGGAGATGGAGAGACGGAGGATTGTCTAGTGTCGGACCAGAGACGATTCCCGGTTAGATCCATGCTTCAGCAGAGACAGCTAACTAAAGTAATTAGTTCAGGACCACTTAGCTTTAGTCTTTAGCCTGGAGACGAGATGAGATGAGTGATGATAATTATTCTGTGCCACCGGAGTGCGGGGAGTTTACAGGCTCGGAGTCAAGAGGAGTCCAGAGTATCCATCTACAGCCAAAGCAGAGACCGCAGAATCCGGGGAAGTCGATCATTTCTTCATCTGATATTCAATCTGACCTCGCTTGCACAGAATAGATTAATCGCTCTCTCTCTCTCTCTCTCTCTCTCTCCCTTACTCACGGACCGAACTGCCGTCCTGTGGCCCACTGGCCTTTTACTCCATTCGAGACGGACCTCCTAGATCGAGGCCATATGCAGTACACAGTTGCAGGTCATCATCCCCTGACTCGATTCTTCAGCCATTGACTAGCATCACACGGAGGAGATAACCCATGTCCATCATGTCTTACATGTTTAACTCTCCGCATCACTGCACAAAAGTCTCTTTTCTCTTTGCAGAAGCGTCTCCGATCGACAAGGTACCATACCAAACAGTCTTAGCTTTGATTAGGTCTACTTACTCCTGGTTCTCGTACTCCGTACTCCGTCCTCTACATGTGAATACACTTAATTATGTCCAAGTCAGGGTCAGGGCTAAGATGCCTAAACGCGCAGTCAAAAATACCGGCCTCTCTCCGAATACCGGTTGTTACCTTACACATACCGGGGTCCCCACACTACTCCAGAGTCCAGCCAAGAGTCCAAGACCGCATATCAACGACTGCGTAAGCTTAGATAGATTGTAGATAGATTGTAGATAGATTGTAGATAGATTGTAGATGTGACTCGTAGATTCAATCCAAAGAATGTAATGCAATACATCTAATAAATCCTTCCTGAAGCCATCCGCACAAAATCAAACGGCACATTCTGTCCCACCAGCAGCCGCATCGTTTCCACCGTCGTCCACGCCGTCACCTCGTCGATCCCGTATGCCGTCCAGCCCGCACTCACCGCCACACCCACCGGATCCCCCTTGCGCTCCCCCGAACTCGCCGTCAGATCCAGGTACACTTTGCCCCGCGTCGACCGCGGTGATGTGCGCCCGTTGCTGCGGTAGTGTCGCAGCAGCGGCTGCACCAGCAGCGACTTCTCCGGCGGCAGCGCTGACACCATCACAAACGGCTGCTCGACCAGCTTCACTGACTGGATCGAGGTAAAGGGCTCCAGGCCCGCCGCCAGCGGTCCTGTCGCCCGGAATCCCACTGTGTAGATCGATCCAACCCCGAGACTGCGCAGCGCATAGATCGCTGCGGATGCATCGCTTTCCGACCCTGCTAGGATGATCGCCGCCCGGCCGCGGTAGGCTGAGGGCACGTAGTCGCGTGTCAGCGTCGCCCGGATTCCTTTCCACGTGGCGTTCTCCCCAACTAACGTTCTCGTCGTTGGTCCTTGCGGCTGTGGTCCCGACCCCGGCTGCGATTGCGACTGCGGCTGCGGCTCCCCCACGACAATTGTATCCACCAACCCGATCGCCCGCGCGGCCTCGCTGACAGCGGGAATGTACGGCGTCGCGGCCGAGATGGGCGGGTTGACCGAGGCGCCGCCGAAGCTGGGCTGCATGATCACCCCTTCGATCGTCCCCTTGGGGCCGCGGTCGATGGACGTCAGCGTGTGCGGCAGGCTCAGCTCGTTGAAACACTTCTCCATGAACATGGACTGCGGCGTCGCCCGGAACGACCCAATCACGTACAGATCGCGCTTCGGCAGGGCGCCCATGATGTGCATCGCCTCGTTGATCTCGGCCGCGGTCAGCTGGCCCGGCGCGGCGATCATCGGCAGCAGCGGGTGCGTGATGGGCGAGAAGACGGTGTTGAGCGCGCGCGACAGCTGGCCCATCTGGCCCATGTTGACCGCCGACAGCAGCGGGGACGCGACCGCCCCGCGCGCCTTGACCGTCGACCGGAAGTACTCCAGCTCGTAGTTGGCCTCGATCGTGTGGACCATGGCGATCATCTTGACGATATCCGCGTACCGGGCGCTCTCCGCGAAGATGCGCGCCGCCTCGGGCGACGTCCACTTCCACGTGCCCGAGAAGTCATGGAACGCCGACATGATCACGCTGTGGCCCTTTTGCTCGGCCAGCCGCCGCCGGATCTCCTCGGGCAGCCATAGCTCCACGTCGATGTATTCGCACCCCCACTGGATCGCCCGCCGCAGGTACCGGTAGAACAGCATCGGGTCGTCCATGGGGAACTTGCCATTCTCCTTGGTGCAGCGCGTTGTGAAGATGATCGGCAGCTCCGTGTGCTGCCGCAGCAGCATCACCTGCTGGCCCACGTACCGCAGGCTCGGCACGGGGCTGACGACCCCCTGCGGCGACGGCTCGACCAGCAGATCCACCCGGATCTCCACCGCATCCGACCCGACAGACAAGATGTCCAGGTTCGGCAGCGCCGCATGCACATCGGGGAACGTCGTCGAGATGAAGTTGGTGCGGGTCTTGGTCTTGAGATCCTCGTGCGGCCGTGTCTGGCCCAGGATCAACGACAGGAAGCGCGTCAGATCGCGCCGCAGAAACGGGCTGTGCGAGTACAGAAACTCATAGTCGCACCGGTCGGTGAGCGCCTCGTCCGGCGACGAGCCGTCGTCCACACAGTGCGTGTTGATCACGATCAAAGTAGACGAGTCGCACTCGTCGAGACTGCGCGCCAGCTCAACGGCCAGAATCCCCACCACCACGGCATTACTGCCCTTCACCGGGGAGGACAGCGACGTTTCCGTGGTCCATGGTTTGCCCAGAACCTCGGCGACCAAGTGCACAATGGCGTCCTGGCCGGACCCGTAAACTACCACCACCGTCCTCGGAGGATCCGCGGGGACAGACTGGGGAGCGGCAACGGCTGAATTGGCCGAGACAGGAGTCGACAGTGGGGGATGAGCACCATTGACAGGCGACGGAGCGCTGGCGCTGTTGTTGGTAACGGAAGGAACGGTATCAGCAAGAATGGTCATCGCCATGGGCTGATGAATGGCTGTCTGCATCATCTCATTGCATGGGCAGATAGACTGCTCAGTTCATAGTTGGTCCAAGTCCAATTAATAAACGACAGCAGTTGGAGTCTCAGACAGATGATAAAAATGGAGGTATCGGTATCATTCATGAAAATAAAATAAAATAAATGTGTTCACCAACAGACCGACACTCAATGTGATGCTGTACTGCTGGCAATGGCAATGGCAATGGCAATGGCAATGGCACTCTGGGGTAAACCCACACAAGAGGGAGTTTAGCCTTTAATGTTGATCACTGTCGATGTAGATAGGTGGGCAGGGTAGGTTATTACCCGGAGAAAAGAGGGCGAACGGGTATCAAATATATCAAATAGTCGAGCAAGATAAAAGGAGAAATGATAGAGGGAGGGACGGTCTAGGATAGAAGGGAGAATAGGACACGATAGGATCAGATCAGGATCCAGGTCAAGGTCCTGCAGGGTATCATCCACCAGTGCCAGGAAGCTGGAAACCGACCGGCAACGCCGTAGTTCTAAGAGTATGGTTGTATCGGACTGACTGTAAGAAGATTGATTACCCCCGATAGAAGCAAGGAAGCAACAAGAAGCAGGCAAGATCCCGAGGAAGGAGACGAGTTAGAGACTCAACAATGTCACTAGTAGTCATCAGAGAGTAACATTATCAAATGATTCTTCTTCTTCTTCTTCGTCTTCTTCTTCTTGTCGATTATCCCATCGACGGCAAATGCAACGATCCGGCTGAATTTCCCCGGGTTTCCGCCTCCGCTGCCGGACCCTATTTCTCCGCCAATAGAATCCTTTCTTAAGGGTATCTCATTTGGTATCACAGCGTTCTCAATAACCTGGAAGAATATACGGAGTAGTGATAGAGTATATAAAAGAAGTAATGGAGAGGATAGGATATTTGGCTAAATACTCACGGTACCCCTGGTCAGATATCCTCTACACAATAACCCTAATGATCATCATGCAAGGTAGCAAGACCAGACACATGGGACTATGCGTATTCTGTAATCCTGAAGACCTGGTATACTAGCTGGTAGTATTCCGTAGTAGAAAGATCTACCTTATGGAGTAGGGTTAAAACCTCCGATGATACGAGGAAAAAGAAAGCTCATGGCGTTACGGAGCACAACCGCCACATCTGACTGGCCCTGGTGCTCCTGGGGGAATCCACCTGCCTCAGATCTATGGATTACTTGACTTGCCTTAGGATAGGTCCATAGTCATGGTACAACGGTCCCAGGTCACCCTCTTACTTTCTCAAGGGGTTCCCCGGCTATTGACCAGGAGGTCGAGTGTACAACTTCTGAGCTTACTACGTAGGAAGCTAAAACATGACGAAGGGAGAGTTGCAGCAGAGGGGTGTACATCTGCAACAGTAGCCAGTCTGACAGACTCCAGATGAGCCCCGTCTCTAAACCTGGCCTGGCATTTGTGGAAGAATCTGCACTTGAGACATGCTTATCTGAAGGAT